ATTTATAATCCCACGTACCGAACGACCCCTTAGTGTCTTAACTTTGCAGTTAAAAGTCGAGGAGAGTAAGAGAATGAATTCAGAGTGAAGATAATGAAGGAGTTTACTTTCGTTGTAAAACCCTGTCTTATGTATGAGGGATAGTTTGATCTAAAACTTATTTTGCATACTCCCATATAGAAACATAGCTTGGATTGAAAACTAACTGGCAAATTCTAACTTAGAAATCGCACTTATCAAATGCGGAAACATAGCTTGAATTGAAGACTAATTGCATAATGCGTTATAAGTCGCATTTGCGATATGTGACTTAGAAATCAGCGTTTGCAAAATCCGACTTATAAATGCAAAATGCGACTTATAAATCGCGTTTGCGAAATGCGACTCATACATCGCATCAAATACGAGTATGAATAAATCAAATTAATGCGACTTATGAATGTCATTGGGAATGCAGGAAAGAAGAGTAAAGACAGAAACTACTGTGAAGGATCTGGTGCAGGTTTCTAGATTTTCATTGCGTTGCAGTTAAGTCTAAGGCAGCCTCAGCAAAATGTAATCTACTGCGTCCCAGAACGGAATAGTATATTGACTTTAATCAATTATCACTTTAAATTTTGGATTAGGAACTAAAATGCTTCTCTTAATTGGCATTATAAGAAATTAGGGTGGACTAAAATTGCCCATCTTCCTAAGGTGGATTGAAATTGCCACTAACTCTCAATAATCCCAGGTATTGATCTCGTAAATTTTCCTCTTTTTCTTGTTACGAAGGCAAAATTGACATGACTTAGTTTAGATTAGATTTTTTGATTGATTAATTGACAAGATTAAAAGTAATGGGCAAGATGAAGTGATAAAATAATTACAGCGTGGATTTATGTTAATGGTATTCCTCACTGAGCTGAAACGAAAGTAACTTTTCAATTGTTTTCTTAAGTGCTGTACAACCGATAGCGTTATTACTTATTAGTCCTGCTTTCTATGATAATATCAATTGAGTTGGCTTCTTTGTATTGGGAAGTTGAAATTAGTTAAAGTTAGTTGCAATTTTTGCCATCGAAATTGTCGAGTGATCATAAGTGGCGTGACAATAATTATATAATTGTATCTCTTCTTTTGATTAATTGGTTAAACATACTTATTCAATTACAAATATTGATAATTTTTAAAAATTAATTTGTCTCAAAATATTTGATAAATAAAAAGTATTTGTCGGAATATTATTTTTCGACTTCATTCTTGTTGCTTTAATTAATGGAATATTAATTAAATGAGACATGTATGAGAGAGAGAATGTAACGACCCGACTGGTCGTTTTGAGTATCTGCACTTCGCTCGGTAAATTTAGGACCATACTCTGTGTTTCGAAACCATTAGAGCCTCATTCTAGCCTTCCTTGATTTGCGTGCGCTGTCCGGGTATTGACCTGGGAGGCTTATATGCTAACAAAAACTGATCAAAATAAGAATTTTTGCCTAGAAAGTTAATTTTGGTTGATTTCGGTCAACATTTTGAGTAAATGGACCCGGACCCGTATTTTGACTGTCTCGATAGGTCCGTATTGAAATATGGGATTTGGGCGTATGCCCGTAATTGAATTCTGAGGTCCCTAGCTTGAGTTATTAATTTTTATTGAAAATTAAAAGTCTGAAAAATCTAATATTTTTAAGAATTGATTGATGTTTGGCATTGTTGATACCGGATCCGTATTTTGGTTTCGGACCCCGGTATAGGTCCAATATAATATTTTTGACTTATCTGTGAAATTTGGTGGAAAACGGAGTCGGTTGAAGTGATTCAGACGTCCGGTGGTAAAAATAGAGATTTCAAAGCTTTCTTGAAAATTTCATTTGATTTGGTGTCCAATTCATAGTTCTAGGTGTTATTTTGGCGATTTGGTCGCGCGAGCTAGTTCGTATGATGTTTTTAGACTGGTGTGCACTTTTGGTTTGGAGTCCCGAGGGGCTTGGGTGTATTTTTTGATCATTGATTGACAGACTAGTAAAGTTAAGAAATTTGGGAGTTTGACCATGGTCAATATTGGGTTAAGACGATCTCTTTTCAGTGTTTTGAGTACGCGAGCAGGTCCGTAGCGTGTTTTATGATTGAAATTCATATATGGTTTGTGTCCGGGAGGTTCCGGATGAGTTTTGGGTGGTTTTGGATCATTTCGGAGAAGTTTGGGTTTTGCTGGTTTTTGGTGTGGCACTGTTCATTCGCAATTGCGAACCTTTTTATGGCAATTGCGGAAACACTGTTCATTCGCAAATGCGAAGTTTCAAATGCGACATCTGCAGCCTGTTAAGTGCTGAGAATTCTGAGTTTTTGCTTCATTTTCATATTTTTGAACCCTAGCTTCGAGGTGAGGCGATTTTGTGAGGGGATTTTCATACCAAAACATTGGGTAAGTACCTTTAATCAATTTCCAACTATATTTCATGATTTTATACAAGATTTAACATCAAATTCATGAGAAATCTATGAAAAAATTTGGGGATTTTGTCAAAGTTTTAAAAAATGAAAATTTAGGATTTGAGAGTCGAATAGGACTCGGATTTGAAAACAAAACACATATTTGGACTCGTGAGGTTATGGGTAGTCAAGACCTACCCTTGGACCCAGGTTTTCACCGGGTGGGCCCGGGGTTTGACGTTTGTTGACTTTTTAGAAATTGAATAAAAATCACAGCTTTATTAATTGAAGTTATTTTCTCTTGCATTGTGTGGTGTATTCAAGTCGTCATTGGCTAGATTGAGTCGAGCGGAGGCAAATTTGTAGAGGAAAAGGCTAAGTTGAGTGTTGAGTTAGCCGAATCGAGGTAAGTGTTTTGCCTAACTTTGTTGAGGGAACTTTCCCTCCTATTTATCATTGTTTGCTACATGCAGAGGTGATACATATATGAGGTGACGAGCGTATATGTATGTGCCGGGGTTGATCATGCTCGGGGGTAGATTGTGCTCTAATTGTGTCTTGTAGAATTACGTAACTCCCTTGCTTCATGCTTCACTTGATTTACCGTTATTAAGAACGTAGTATAAAATGTTAGTAATCAAGACTTAGCCTAATATAACTTGATCGAATTTGATAGAATTCTGAGAATACATTGATGTGTCTAGTTTGGTCATCTCTATGCGTAATCATTACTACATTGCTATGGTCGATATTTTGAGATGCTGGATTCTATACTTGTGTTGCTGACAAATTGTGATCAGTACTTGAGTTATACTGCCCTTGAGGGCTTATTGAATCATTGTTGGCTTAGAAATTTCGTGATTTAGAATTTGTTGGAATATTTGTCTGAACACTCTCCTCGATGTTATTTATACTTCCTGCCTGTCACTTTATTGATATCATATGCTTGTTAAGGAAGAGTGTAAAGCACGAAGGGTGATGCCGTGCCATTTCATATATATTATCATGTGAGGAAGAGTGTAAAGCACGAAGGGTGATGCCGTGCCATTTCATATACATTATCATGTGAGGAAGAGTGTAAAGCACGAAGGGTGATGCCATGCCATTTTATTTATATTGTTATGCTTTTTAATATTGTGAGGTCATGGCACGAAGGGTGTTTCCGTGCAGGTGAGGATGAGGGACATGCATTATGATGTGATATCTATTTTTCCGTGTATACACTTCCACCCTTACCTTGAGCTGTGATTGTCGCAATTAAATATTCTGAGTGATATCTTGTTATTTTTCCGTACTTGACCTCTATCTTAATTGTTGTTGTGCTGTCCATGTCTTTTACTTGCTTAACTTGCATATGCCATGCCTATTTCCTGCTTTGAAATTATGCTCATGTCATACCTATTCTGTCGCACTCTAGTTTAATCATTCCATCATGACAGTCATTCATGCCCTTGCTTGTTAACTTGTAAAGATCATGTGTTTCCGTCTTATTTGTCATATTTGTACTTAGGCCTCCAATATACTAGTTAATTGACGTTGATACCCCTTGCTTTCCAATTATTGTTATTGCTCACGTGCTTTTCGTTTAGTCCTTTACTGTTGTCCACATGTATATCCTGGTCCATTGTTATTACTTGCGTATTTCCTACTTTGTAATTCCTATTATTGTGTTTCTGTCATATGGTTGGTTCTGTTATACGTTCATTTGGAAGGATGAGTTGAACGCACGAAGGGTGTTGCCGTGCTAATTAAATTGTACATAAATTTATTTATACATGGTGAGGATGAGATAAAAGCACGAAGGGTGCTACCGTGCCATGTGATTTGATATTTTGGATATACTTCTCATACTAGGAAAGATCGTAAATCTTGGTTCCTTTTAGTAATTGTTGACTATCTCGCCGAGTTGTATATGATACTTTTATCTGTTATGCTTTAAACTGCTTTACTGCTAATCTAATATACAGGTTATAACAATAAGTATCTTTTAACTAAAAACCTCCTCACCACTTCGACGAGGTTTGACAAAATACTTACCAGTACATGTGGTCGGTTGTACTGATACTGCACTTCTGTACATTGTGTGCAGATTTTGGATCGGAGCTGCTGGTGACGTCGGGTGCTGATTCGGAAGATGTTCGTGCGTTTGGATATAGCTGCCACTTGTCCTTGGTGGCTTAGGTTATTGCTAATCTGTTTATGTAACCTTCAAACAGAACGTGTATTTAATTGTATTAGTTTTGACATTCCAAATCATAGAAGCTCGTGATTCGTACTACCAGGTCTTGGGTATTTGTAAATGTTCAGTTATCTATTCTCTATTCTCTAATAATCTCAGTTGAGTTGTATTTTCTGTTAGTTGGCTTACCTAGTGCGTTGAGTTAGGTACCATCACGACTTGTGGTTTTTGGGTCGTGACAGAGAAAGAGAGAGAGGAACCTAAAATGGAAAAAGTTGGAGCCTAATCCCTTACTTTGTATACAATTGGTAAATGTGGTTATGTTAGGTAATTAAATGAGAACATCTTTAAGAGTAGTAATCAGGTTTATAATTTTGCATAGATAGGGCAAAATTCCTTATTAAAAGAAGATAGAAATCATATTTTTCCAATGTTGCTGATATTACATATCAAACTTACAAAATTTAAATTTTAACTAATGATCAAATTTTGTATAACTAACAAGAAATTATAGCATTTCCTCTAAGCTTTTGAGCGGGGGGTGGTTGGTGGAAGAATGATAATGTTGCAGCAATGGACTCTTGTTGGTGTCAAGATAGTAAAGAAGAAAAACCATCCCAATTGAAGTAGCAAACATTGGAATTGGACCAAAAAACCATAGCAACAAAGTGATGGCAAAATATAGAGCTCTAAGCCCAATAGACCAAAAATCACCTCCCCTTATAACAGCCAATTCCACATAGCTCGCAGGAACTTCACTATTTGGTATACTAATTAGGTAATTTGCATGGATGAAACATCTTGATGATTGAACAAAGCAAGAAAATGCCAACAAGAAAAATATAATAAGGCTTATGTACTTAATGGAGATGGTGACTGGCCTTGTATCACCATATATTAATTCACTCCTAAATAAAGTTGAACTATTTGCCATCCATGCTCCGATGAGAGAGCTCAGAGTTAAACAGACAGTTGCCAAGAATGTTGCTCCTGAGTTGTTTGATGCTAGAACTTCTAATGCGGTTGTAACATCCCGATTTTCAGTCTGCCAAGAAAACAAAATTATCAATGGATCATAGTGTATTTGATGTGACCGAAGTCATTTTCACAAAAAATATTTTCCTATGAAGTGTTTTTTGTTAATTGGCTGATGAGTCGAAAACTACTTTTGAAAGATTTATATAAACATAATGATAATATTGGAAAGTATCGACAAAAGAAATTGCATGTGTCAAATGGATCTGGCCGTAACTATAGCGAAATTCCAACAAATTAGATAGTATTTTATATGAAATCTTTTTAGGGAACCAATGCGTCCTTCGTTATGCATCTTATGTTAATCATGTACTAGACGTTCCTTAGTTATTAATATATCTATTTCCTATTTGCTCAAAAAAATCATCCGAGTGTTAGTTGGAACAAGTTATATAAAGCTAGGGGGTCAAGATAACTACTCCCTCCGTTCACTTTTACTTGGCATGTAGGGGTGTTCATGGTTCGGTTTGGATCGGTTTTTCCCTAAAAAGAAACCAAACCAAGTAAGTCGGTTTTTCAAATATTAGAACCAAACCAAACCAATTAAGTCGGTTTTTCTCGATTCGGTTTATGTCGGTTTTTCGGTTTTTTCGGTTATTTGTCGCTTTTTTCTTAAATATAAGACATACACTACCAAACACATATTCCGGCGACCACTTTTTCAATGTTACACTATCAAATCAATTGCCCTTTGAGAAATCTATTATTTACCAAGATATATTGATGATAATTGAATCAAATAGTGATGAATAATTTAAGGACTCAATTAAAAATATGTTATTTTTAACACGAAATGGATTCTTACACTAAACAAAAGAAAACTACCAATCAAACTATAATGTAAAGGTAAAGAATTACATTAAAAGTGCAAACTATTAACATTTATCATAAAATTTTTGAAACTTTGTATAACAATATACATATATATAGGTGTAATAATAAATTTGAATAGCTACTCCTATAGTCAGTTTGGTTCGATTTTTTTCTGACTAAAACCAAAACCAAACCAAATTTGATCGGTTTTTAAAATTCAAAACCAAAACCAAACCAAACAAAAAAGTATCGGTTTTTTTGGTCGGTTTGGTTCGATTTTTCGGGTTTTTATGAAAAATAGATTTTCATTTTTACTTGACACTTTGCGCATATTAGGAGAAGACAAATTTTTTTCCCTATTATACCCACAATATTTATTACTCATTTCAAATTATTTTCTCAAATCCAATAAAATATGTATCAATTAATATGGGTATCATGGTAAATTATGCACTTCATTTATTATTTTTTAAGGGGCGTGAAAAGTCAAAATTTGTCAAGTAAAAGTGAACGGAGGGAGTATTAGCAAAATAAATTCAATTCATAACCGAGGAAAGTCATTTCCCCCGTTTGGAAGAAAAATATATTTTAAGGAAATTCAAAAAGCAATAATTTTTCATACCAAATAACACCCAGAACTTTGAAAAGTTTCAAGAAATGTTTGATGGGACAATAGAAGCTGATTTGGTACTTACCTGCATGATTTTTTGAACCCAAGCTATTTTATCATTGTTCTCAAAACCAAGAACTGTGGTATGAGGATTCTTAACGTATCTCTGGAGAAGAAAGAGATGATAAGCAATCATGATGAGCAATCCACTAGGCACCAAGTATAGATCAAGGTGCTCTTTCTGGAATACCATTTTTTTCCTCCTATCTGTTTTTTGTTCGTAAAATTGCGAGAGTGGAAGAAGTTGAATGGGTTTTTGCATATTAAAATTAGCAAAATTTTATGTTGCTTGAAAGGAACTATATCAGAGTTTGCTATTTGTTCAATTGAAGCAAACCTCTGACTTAACGTATTGTAAAGGAAACTTGTTAATTAGATAATCTTACAAGCAACATTCATAAATAACAACATTGACCAATAACAATTTGATGATTTAATTACAGTCCTTGATATTGGAGGCTTGAAATGTGATTGTAAGTAAACTTATTTACAATTACAAGGAAATGCCAAAATTAGCTTTTTCCATTTTTGTACAATTCTTTTTTGTGCCAAAGTTCACTTACAATAAATTATAAACATTAATATATTGACCATTGAATATAACTCATTGTACTCCCTCAGCAAGCCTAAAAAAGATGATCGATGTCACGAGTTGCAATGCTAGTACCTTTTCCTTTTGCATAAGATCGATGATTGTGCAATTGCTTTGTGTTTTTGTCAAGGGAATGGAGGAGGAAAACCATAACAACTGAGGTTATAAACATGGGAATTGGACCAAAAAACCATAGAAGTAAAGTGGTTGCAAAATACAGAGCTCTAAGCCCAAGTGACCAAAACTCACCTCCTCTAATCACAGCCAATTCAACATAACTTATTGGTATATCAGTATCTGGTATGGTTATTAAGTAATTTGCATGAATGAAGCATCTGGATGATTGCACAAAACATGCAAAAGCCAACAAAAAGAAAATTAATAGGCTTATGAACTTAATGCACATAGTTTGTGGCCTTGTATCACCATATATTAATTCACTGTTGAAAATACTATTATTAGCCATCCAGGCTCCAATGAGAGAGGCCAATGTTAATGAAACTGATGCCAAGAATGTTGCTCCATTGTTATTGGATCCTATTACATTTAGAGCTGTATTTATAGTGTTGCTATCTCTAGCCTGCAAGATTCAGCAGAAATTAGAAAATTCCTTAAAGTTTCTTTTTTACAATGTGGAAAATTGAGGCATATAGACACACACGACATAGGTACATAATGACACCCCTTATAAAAGAGTGTTATCTGACATCCCTTCGCAAAAAAATAAATGTTTGTAATATTTTTTTAAAACCAATATGTATATATATACAATTTATGGATACTATTAGAAAATAGTACAAAGTTATAAAATGCAATTTAGAACAGAAAATAAAGCCTTGAAACTACCACATCCTAGATTCAAAAGTATTTGTAAGTCGAATTGTACTAATGAGTAACACTGCTTACAAAATTTATCAAGGGTTGTCACAAAATTTTCTTTGAAGAATTAACCCAAATAGCCCCCACCAAACTGCTTAAATTAAAAAAAGCCCGTGAAGGTATAATTCATGCATAATTTATGTATTATATGTGTATGTATAATCAATGTATAAACTATGTATATGGCTAAACAAAATAAATAATGAATATGACGGACTATTTGTGTAAAGATCCCATTTTCTTCCGAGTCTATTACTCAGATGGTCACTCAACTTTCCAAAATTATCTATCAAAGTCATTTTTCTTTCGTTTGTAACAACAAAGTCACTTAACTATGCCTATAGCATTCAGAAGGTCATTCAACCAGATTTCAAACTTTTGATCGCCAAATACCTATTTTACCCTCTAAATTATCAACTTTTATCTTCTGTTTTTATTTTCTTTTTAAATATTATTATTTTTTTCTCCTTTTAATCAACATTATGGACTTACCTATAGAACAAAAATATTTTATTAAAAAATAAAATAAAATATTTTTCTAGCATTATAATGTCGAAATAATAATATAATTGAGCATAATATTCAAGATTATGTGATGTATATTACAAAAATACTTTTCTTTTAAATAATTATTTTCTATAGTACGTGCATGGAATATATATTTTAAAACTTTTATTTTCTTTCATTCTCAATTGTGTAAATAAAGTTTTGAGTTTTATTTGTTAATATCAAAATTATTTTTACGAACAAATTGTTCTAATTAACTTTCCATTATGCTCAATATTTTATTATTTCAACATTATATATGCTTAAATAATATTTTAATTTATAGATAAAATTTATTTATTATAAGGGAAAATCCGTAATATAAATTAAAAAGAGAAAAAAAAATTATATTAAAAAGCTAAAAAATAAAAAGGGTAAAATAGGTATTTGGCGATCAAAAATTTGAGAAATCTTATTGAGTGACCTTCTAAGTGCTATTGGCATAGTTAAGTGACTTTGTTGTTACAAACGAAAGAAAAATAACTTTGATAGATAATTTCGGATAATTGAGCGACCATTTGAGTAATGGACTCATTTTCTTTCTATATACTCCCCCGGTCCACTTTAATTGTTTTTTTTTGTTGGTTTAACACATATAAAGGAATTCACCTTTTTGCATTAATTAACAATAAATTGACCATATTAACCTTAATTTGTTCATTGAAAATATAACAAATACTCGTTGGCTCTTTACTTCAAAGGCAACTTTGGAAAAAAAGAGATTAATTCCTTCTTGATTTCTAAAAAAATCAAATATTGTGAACCACAAAAAAAAAAACTAAAAAATCAATTAAAGTGGACCGGAGTAAGTACTTATATAAATTAAAAACTTTCTAAAAATCAATATGTATATACACAATTTGTCGACTTTGCTTGAAAGTAATACAAAGTAAAATACAATTGGAACATGAAGTAAAGCCTTGAATTACCAAAGTTCCAAATGACAAACCATTTAATAAGTCAAATTGTATCAAAAGATCAACATCACTAATACAAAATCCACCACTATATACATATACGAGATTATAATACCTGCATAATTCTTTCAATCCAAGCTCTCTTGTCATTGTTCTCAAAGCCCATGATTGTGGTATGAGGAATGTTGAGGTATCTATAGAGCAAGTAGAGATGGTAAATGAACATGATACAGAGCCCACTTGGGACCAACAACAAATCAAGGTACTCTTTTTGGAAAACCATTCTATCTCTTCTATTTTCTGAGAGGAGAGTAGTGAAGAAGATGAGTTCCAAGGTTTCAATATTCATAATTATATTCTCGACGGTTAGAAGGAATAAAATGGCATCTTTTATCTTTTTTAATGTAAGTGCTGCCTACTTTACGTATATGCGTAGCAAAAACAACTAGTAGTATGAATATTTCAACAATCTTAACAGAATGTGCAGAAGTTTGATAAGAAACCTACCTAGTTGTTATGTTTTTGTGTCCACGTGATTATTTCTTCTCTTCATGGTCATCGTCATCAGCTGAGCATTGCGATGGCTTTCATTATAATATTTTTGTAAACTGATTGACCCTTTAGAGTTTGATTCTTGAACAGAATTAAATAAATTTAACTTAGATATATTTACAATATATAGAACTATTATATTATCAACATATTTTAACATGTTGTAACAAGTTATTAGTCATCTGACTTATTATAAACGGTTGCTGGTGTTATCTTTTTTGTGGTTTAATAATATGAAAGTTCTTTACACTTTCGGTGGATAAAAGTTAAATTCAATTAATTATACAGGTCCTACAAAACGGCAAGATATATACCAATAGATCTTGGTGCCTGTTGGATATGGTGGTGGTAATACTTTATTGTTCGTTCAACTTTGAGCAGTTTAAATGGAATTTTAAAATAATTTCCTTGTGCAAGAAGTTTAACTACTTTTTGTGCGATAGACTTTTGAATCTTGATCGTAAAGCATGCATGGAGGCATGGTTGTATGAGTATTGAGCTCGCAATTGAGTCGTCAGAAGAAATATTGAAACAGGCTGTCAAGGCTCAACTTGTTATATATAGTCAATGTGCATTTGTGGTGGTGGGATGAAGTAGCTGTTTCTTCAATTTACTGCAATGCGATATTTGAGTGTTGGCAAACAATAAGGTCTCTTTTTTTTTTTTTTTTTTGGGTTTCTCACACCCTGTGTTCTGTACCGTATTGGCAGAGGCTTATCCAGGATATTAAAAGTATGGGTGCACTATACTATTGTTTAGTTTGACTCCATCAAAACTTTATCATGACAACAACTTATTGAGCAAACTATGATTAATACTATTATCACAAGAAAACATCAGTTCGATTGTTCTTAACAAATTTTCATACGTTAAAAGTAAATAGCATAGTTGTTTGTAGAAAACCCACTACACAAATGAAAGAAAAAACTAAAGAAAAATATAAAGGAGAGAAATAATAAAAAAAATGGGTTAGAGGGTGACCTTGTTCATAAAATGTCACTACCCAAAATTAACTGTCGTGATGGCGCCTATCATGGAACTAGGCCAGCCTCAACTCAACAACCCAACACAGTAAATATAACTTTAAAATAATGACGGAAGCAGTTAACATTAAAGAAACTCTTTTGAAAACATAATAAATTCCAAAGTGTGATACAATCATACAATCCAGCCTAAAAACCGAGGTGTCACTGAGTACATGAGCGTCTATTCGGATTGCAATCCACTACAAGGTCTAAAGAAAACAATTGAAATACATCAAATGAAAAAGAAGGAGAGTCAATACCCGCGAACGGTGTGCAACTACCTTGATAGTCTCCTAACTCTGGGGTCTCAATCAGCAATCGCCGTCGCGGACAGAGTCACCTGGATTTGCACACGAGGTGTAGGGAGTAACGTGAGTACACAAACTTAGTAAGTAACAAATCAGACTTTGGACTGAAAGGCAGTGACGAACTCAACCGCAACAGATATAACATAAATGAATGTGCAGAAATGTAGGCATGCTTTCAAGTTAAATAGACAGCTCAAAGCAATAAAGTAAATACAGATCTGAACAGTGTAAGGTATACAACTCAGCTATCTCTGCATGCCAATGCACAGACTATATGAAACGCATCATGTGCTCCCACTCTCAAGTGCTCAACCACTCGGTACTGTATATGGCCATCCGGCCCAGGGAAGATCCATCCCGGAACATATACAACACTGACTATAAGTCACCCAGTACCGAGGAAAAAGGGCAATCCAACCCTGTGGAGAAGATCCATCTCCAGGTATCAAGTACTTCGGACAAATCCATGTCCAGGGAAGTCCATCCCTTAATAGTATCATCCGCGCTCACTAGGGGTGTGTTACAGACTCCGGAGGGGCTCCTACAACCCAAGCGCTATCATAATCATCAATATAACTGTTGCGGCGTGCAGGCCGATCCCATAACTGTCACTCATAATCATGCTCTCGGCCTAACTCAGTCATCAATCTCTCTAGTCTCACCCACGGGCTCACAATGTCATGAAAACAAACCCGGAACAATCATATGATGAATCAATAAATAACCGAGACTAAGATATGATATAAAAATGCATGAACATGATTGAGCACGGAATATCAAAGAAAATAGTGAGATTACAGCAAGAAATGACCACTAAGGGTCCCAACAATACCGACATAAAGCCTAAACATGATATCTAACATGATTTACAGCTCAATTTACTCTTCCACATTCTTGTTTGTTATTGTTTTTACTTCTACTCTAAGCTATTGATTGTAATTATGAAACTAGAAGACAATATTTTTGGTTTTTGTTATTTTTCAATTGATAAAGGATCTAGGGTCGTGACTTCCACCTAGGTGGTTACCTAACGGGTTGTAAACTCTAGAGCAAGTTTGATTAGTCGGATTGTAATATAGCAATCACATGCAATTACCCACTCAATACCTCTCAGTAGTTCGAGTGATTTTGCCCAATTTGGCTTTCTCAAGTCCAAATAGGTATTGCACAAAACAAGTGATATATGCTCAAGTCGGGTCTTACTATCTCTAGATTTGACCCTTTAATTAGGGCTATTAATTTCTTGAGTTCACCCCAATTTCTTGTTAGCCAAGTTTTCCTAGACTTAGTCTCTCTTTCTCAATAGAGACTAAGTCAAATAGGCATGAATCAATGTTTGCAACCATTAATTATAGAATTTAAGCATGAACAAGGCTAAATATCACTAACCCAATCACAGACAAGCCCTAAATCAAATACCCTTTAAGTACCTACACTGGGGTTGGGCCACAACCCTTGCTAGACATTTAGCTACTCATGAAAAATGAAGAAATACAAGAAGAAATTAAGATAGAATGCATAATAATTGATTAGAGAAAGAAAATCTAATGTTTAGAAGTTAATCTAGCACAAAATTACTCAAAACAGTAAAGAAAACGGCTCAGGTGCTCTTCTGAAAACCAAGCTTAACCTAAAAATGACAAAAAATTCTATTTATACTAAGCTGAAAATATCTGAAAAAATGCCCCTGCGAAGGTTGTTCGGCCGCTTAATTCTGCTGCGGTCCGCACATTGAGCTTCTGCGGCCGCACAATTATCGTACAGTCCGCATTCTTTGGAACATGGGCTTGAAACTTTGGGGCTTCTGCGCTCCGCATAAAAATGAGTGCGGCTTGATTGTGCGACCGCACAAAAATGATGCGGTCCGTACTCCTTTTGATCCCAGCTCTCTGATTCTTCACTCCTGTGGTCCGCATAATAATGAGTGCGGCTGCACTTGACATTCAGCGGATGCACAATTTCGGTGCGATCGGCACTCCTTCAGCTGGCTCAAAGACTACTCCTTGAATCTCTTTTCTGCGGCCGCACTAGAATTGTGCGGTCCGCACTGTTGCCCTGTTTTGGTTCTTGTTCACTTTTGACTCCTTTATGAATTGATTTTGTCTTCTTTGGCTCGTTTCCCAATGTTCCTGCAAGCAAGCACATTTCATTAGTTTTCGGGAATATCTTTAAGCATTTTTGAGCTAAAACGCAAGTTAAAGAGAGCAAATAAACGGTCAAAATCCCTACTTATCAACTCCCCCAAACTTAAGCTTTTGCTTGTCCTCAAGCAATTAAGGCAATTCGCACCTCCACTAGAAAAGGGATATTTCATCTTGCCTAAGGTGAATCAATCACGCATCAATTGGGACCAACAATTACCCACAACACTTATGAATTATCAACAACACAATGATATGACTTGTTGAGTACCATAGATCTAATGTGACACTAGAGCATCAAGAGTTGACTCTATTCATCAAGGAAGCTCGCACTTTCACATAGGTCATTGTGTATCCCAAACTCCTCCTCCTCTACTCTCCATTAGCAAATCTCACTTTAGACTGTAACACTCGAAGCAAGGATTTTGAAAAGTTCGCTCATCTCTCTCAAAAGAACGTCACAAGTCCGGCTTGAAGTACCATAAGCTTGCCCTTTATGTAAATCACCACTAATGTAAGCTCACTCAACTTGAAATCATGTAGGGCTTTTGCGGGATGTAATGAAGGCATTTGGACCAAGGTAAGACTTGTTGGAATAAAATGGTTTCGTCTTTCCTTAAGCGCTCTCGGCTCGTACTTTCTCGACTCTTTGAGTCATTTTCTTCTTCTTCGGGGGGAACTAGAGAGACGTAACATCACTCTTTCTTGATAATGACATTCATTTTTCTCCTTTTCTATTTACTTCAGCCTCTCATCCTTATTTTCTTTTGAATTCCCTTCAACTCTTCACTTTATTCACTTTCTTTTTGTTCTTTCTTTCTTTCTTTTCTTTGCCTTCCCTTTTCTTCATTTCTTTCTCTTTGTACCTTTTATCACTTCAAACTCCTCGTCTCTCCCCAAACTTATGTTTTTGCCAATTGTTTCTCAAGAATGCTAAGGAAATATTGGGTGCCAAGAGAGGGTCATTACAAAATGGATAAAGGCTTGTAATGTGGTTATTGAAAGAAAAAGGGCTTAGGCTCGAAGGGGTTGACTAGGGATATCACATTGGTAGGCTATGGAGGATTTCAAATTTCAAATTGGATCAAGGAGAGCCTACAATCATTTCTCAAGCCAAGCTACAATTAGAATTTCGCCTAGAAAAATATTCGGGGCAATTTCTAGACCTTTAGCACGGGTACTTGGACTTGCAACTAAACATCTCACCTCTCACGCTTCTGGATTGCTAAAGAGAATGGAGTCGAGGGCCCACAACAACCCTAGCTAAGATTGAGAATCACAAATGGCTCGACTGAACCTCTCGATGACTGTTTAAGTCACACAAGAGTCAAAAGGTCACAACTAGAACTATTTCCCACCAACAACTTTATTTTAACCATACGATCA